CTGGGAAGAGATACTTACAACAGCAGCCCTCTGTGCCAGTGTGAACCATCTCCAGGACAACCCTGCCTTTCACTCTTTACCATGTTGCACCTTCTGAATTTTAAACTATGTGAATTTATTATCTACTCAAAAAAAAAATAAGTAAAATGTAAAATTCTAGGTGTTCATGCTGAACTATTTGTTATCTGGTAACCAGATATTTTGAACATCAAAACCAAGGCTTTGTAATAGCAAGAACAAGAGTAATGAACTTTAAAAAATTGGATATTTTTCCACCAAACTTCAAATATTATTATTAGTGCTGGAAAAAAAAAAAAGATGAGTCTGAGCAGAATTTTCAAAAGGTTCTGGGATTTCTGGTTTTAAAATATTTAACATCATGTCATCTTTACTGAATTATGTAAGTTTTCATCAGTGTCCATTTGACATGTAAACAATCCCTACTGAAATGGAGAGAATTATTTTAGTGTGTCAGTCACAAAGGAGCCCCTTCCTGTGCATTTCCTAGTCCATTTCTAGGCCTGAAGAGTGACACTTCCTGTTACTTGATTACTGTTTCCCCTTCTCAAAGTTATTAATTTTTACCCCACATGGAGAGGAGAAAAAGAAATTCAGAGGGCATCTCCTGCACCCTTCCTCATAACCAACCCCTCTCCAACCCATACTTCTCTACTTAGAGAAGAGTAAGCATTCTTCCCTAGCTTAAGGGTACAAGTATGGTCATGTATTTTTTTTTAATGAAATCATCTGAACCCCTCATATAATAGATTTTCAAAAAGTTTATTATCCCTTTTTGTTTCCTAAAGGAACCATGAACCCCAAGAGCTTACTCAATCTAAGGAAGACAGCCTTGATTCCAAATGTCTCAAGAGACAACCACAGAAACTGACCATCCAGTTAACCCCAGTTTGGGGAAGCCACCTCTTCTGTTGTTGCCATACTGTGTTAAAATGAGTTACAACTAGCTCTGCACAATATAAAGAAGGAAATCCCACCATTTGTGACAACATGGATGAAGTGTGAGGGCACTATGCTAAATAAAATAAGTCAGACAGAGAAATATAAATACTGCATGGTATCACTTATATATGAATCTAAAAAACTGAACTCATAGAAATGAAGAACAGATTGGTGGTTGTAAGGGGCTGAGGGTGGGCAAAATGGGTGAAGGTCAAAGGACACAAACTTCCAGTTGTAAGATGATTAAGTTCTGGGGTTGTAATATATATAGCATTGTGACCATAGTTAACAATACTGTATTGAAAGTTGCTCAGAAAGTAGATTTTAAAAATTCTTACAGACACACATCAAATTGGAACTATGTGAGATGATGGATGTGTTGATTAGCCTTACTGTGGTAGTCATTTTGCAGTAAGTACATACATAAAATCATTATGTTGTACATCTTAAACTTCTACACTGTTACATGTCATCTGTATCTCAATAAAGCCAGGGCAAATTGGCATAGGCCTATTTCAGTCTAGCAAATGACCCAGCTGCTATGTAAAGAACGAACTGGGGTAAGAAGAAATAAAAGCCTAAACCAGGGAAGTTGCAATGACAATAGAGGATGAATGAAGAGATAGATTGCTGAAACTTGAGATCCTTTGGTTGTTGGGAACAAGAAAGAAGGAAAATTTTGAGCCTGAGTTGGGAGCAGTGTGAGAGGAGAGTTGGTGAGGACACCTGGGGCCCAGGATGCTTGTGGGGCTTGTGGCATATCTCTGCAGTGTGGAATGTGTGACTTCAATTCAGAAGAGAGGATAAAGGAGGAGATAGACGTTTGGGAGCCATCCGGTGATAGCAATAAAGTGGGAGGAGTTCTCCCAGAGAGAATGAAGATTGAGAAAAAAGTGAAAAGCTTCCTAGTTTTCCTTCCAAACAGATTCCTAGAGATCTTTAATATGCAATTATAACTTTGAGTTTCTGTGCCTTATTTCTAATATGAGTGGCTGATAAAGCCTGAATATTTATTTTCCAACTTCCCAATGTAAGCAGAACGGAAAAATAATTAAAGTACTTGCAGCTTGCAACATGATTAGAAATTTAATAGCATATTTATGAGATGTGGGTGTTTTGCTTTGAGAAATGCAGAAAGCAGGTCAGATAGAATAAATATGATAAATAAACACATACATTAGGCAATCCCAAAACATCGTGATTTTGGATATCAAACCATCAAGCGTCTAATACTTTTGGCAAGAAGAGAGGAAGCTAAGGCCAATGAGAATTGGAAACAACAGATGGCTGTCCTCAGGTGATAAATATTTAACATGAGCCATAGCAGGCATTGCTCAGTAGGTTGAAAAGATCTTAATGACCTTAAATTTATTTTATCTGCTTCAATGAAAGGGAATACCCACCTCCTCAGGCAGTTTATTGTGACAGATAAGCCTTTGAAGATAAAATACTGACCTGAGCTGTATTTGGCAAGGTGGAACAGGGCTGCAGGGCAGAGGCTACCAAACTTCCTCTGTTCATGGGACCCTTTGTGTCTCAGCATATTTTTCCCCACAGCATCCTTAGGCCCAAAGAAATACCGGACAGGTCAGTGTTTAAGTAATTAGATCTAAACAACTTCATAACTATTTCTGTGCTAGCAACTTAGTAGTCATTTGAAAAAACTAATTCACATAAATTGAAAGAAAAAATATATCATTCTTGAATAACCACAGTTACCTCCTAATGGGACGTGTGCATCTGTTGTGCACTGCACAACTTCTCAAACCTTGGAGTCAAACTGGATCCCACTATCCTTACTTCCTGTTCCTCATTGCTTTCTGTGTAGTACTTGTGGCAGAAAACCCAGCTTCTAAAAGATGGTGTTACCCAAAGGAATGTTTTGTGGTCTGAAAATTACCTCAAGCTTGTAATTCATGGGCTGACAGATGCTAAATATCACCGTGTTTCCTTTAAAAATGTTAAAGTTCCACAGCTCCCCTGTGAGTTTCCTGCATCACCATGAGATGGCATACAGTCGGGGAACTGCAACTTTAGAGAATTAGGAGGTAGTCAAAAATCAGAATGGGACTAGGAAACAGAACGTTTAGAAGATCATCTCTTTGATAATCAAGTGGTTTCCTCAACTGTGAGAAACTAAGATACATTGAGTTCACAAGAAGCCTCATAATTTGCTCCCAGTTATGCATCAACATGAGTTTTCATGACTCCCTTTCTAAACAATATAATTAGTCTTCAAGATAAAGCAAATAATCTCTTATCCTAAGATTCCCTGAGAATTCTTAAGTAAAATAAGATCAGATCATGTCAGTGCTTTGGTGGGCAGAATCCAGGAATTGTATAGGTCTGACAAGGTGTGATTTGTTTTCCTCATGGAGTATATTGAGCTGTTCCTCTGGCAGTTTGTTAAAGGACACAGTGTCAGAGCTATTATCTATTACAGAGGCCAGGAAATGACTCGGCATCTAATCACTACCAAGCCTGGAGATATTATAGATGAATGAAATATTAGGCTCCTGCATCACCTTAATTGTGTTCCAAATTGGATCCCAAAATTAAATCCTTGTTTCCCGCCTTTAATTGCTTAACTTGCTTTTTTTTTTTTACTGCTATGACAGCAAATTCATTGTAAGCTATAATTTATCAACTATCTAATGTCATGATTAGATAGAACCACAAGATTACCTCTAGCTTCTAGGATACTTATAAAGAAAACTTATTTCCCTTTTCCCTGGAATCAGCCTGATTCTAGAATGTGTCATCTGTGCAAGGAAGAAAAAGGAACAATTACTTATTTTTTTTCAAGTGTCTGCCTATTCTGTACTATGCAGTTTTACTGCCTCAATAAATTTAGAATTCACAAGAATACTTGAAGTACATAGAACAGTCTGTTTTTTGCTGCTGAGGAAAATCCTCCTCAGAAGTAGTAAGTGCGTGAGTAGGAATTCTAATGCCAACATCCATGTTCTTTTTACTATATACTGTCTCTTTCTCTCCTGGGACACCTGGGCAATGGCACCAAATAATGCAAAACCCATGTCTGATCTGTGCCTCTCCATTCGAGTATTACAAGCCCAGGATAGAACCTAGTTAGGGTTTGGATTAGGGCTACAGATTGGGAACATCGCAACAGCCTATGTCCAGAGGTTGTTTCTGTTGTATTCTCTCAGATTCCTGAGTTGAATTATGAGTCACACATTCCCAGTTGAGGTCAAACAAGGCCACGCCCTGCTTTCTTGTTTCAATTCTCATACTGTAAACAAGTGTCTTTCCACACTCAATCTAGTGCCACAATTTCCACATTTTTGTGCTTTTTGTTGGTAATTTTGCTGCTTAAATGGTCCCCTAGTGTTGTGCTGAAGTGCTGTTTACAATTCCCATGTGTAATAAAACTGTGATGTGCCTTCTGGAGAAAATAAATGTGTTAGATAAGCTTCATCCAGGTGTGAGTTATAGTGCTGTTGGCTGTGAGTTCAATACTAATGAATCAACAGTACAATATAACCAGAAAAAGGGAGAAGAAATTCACTTATCTGTATGTAAGGCTGCTCTAGATAATGTGAAAGTATCATCTACAGTTCATGATGAAGCTGTGGAAAAGATAGAAAGGCAGCTACATTTGTGGATGCATAAGATGTTGACTGATTTAAAAAAAGCATAGTAGACAGCATTGTTCTGAGGCTGAAGCCCGAGGGAATTTATGGTCACTTTACCCATCGTCAGGATAATGTTCTCAGCTACTGCCTTATTATAAAGCGGTTCTGCATATGATTAAACAAAGTTTTATATTTATCAGTTGAAGAGCATGTTGTGACCAAAGCTTGCAGGAACCTAATCCTAAGTTTCCCCTAGGAACAATGGCTCACTAGTCATTTATTCAGTGTTCACAGTGACTTTATAACTGTGAACTGTGATTTCCTTTCATTTTAATTTACTTATCTTGTACTATACCTGAAATTGGCCTTTTTGTGTTTAATAATCATAAATATTTCTTCTTTGTCAAGAGACAGTATATTGTAGCAATTACGAATGCATACAAAGCTATGATGAATTTGATTGCACTGATTGTATGACATGATAATGTACTTTGTCCTCTAAGAAAGATATTGGCAGCTTCCTTCCTTGGATGTCTGAGTGAGAGAAAAAAAAAGAATGTAAAAAATGTCCAAAATGATATCCTGGCTCCACTTTAACTTGATACCAAGAAATCTGGGTTCTGAAATATTTTCTTCCATACATATGTGATTGCTGTTACTTTCTGAGCTTTTCTTTTCACTTATATAAAATGAAGGTATGAATTTTTCCAGTTGTTTTTATAGTCTATAAAATAAGGGTGTTATATTCCAGATCGACTCTAAATTTACTTCTGCACTGTGCATTTGGGAATCAATGACTGTTACAATCTTTCTAGAGGCAGAGCATAATTACTGGGATAATATCTACATTTATGATTCTATCTTGAAGGACTGATTATATCTGAAGAATTTTAGAATGATACTTTTCTTGGGAGTTGTTTTCTATATAAAATTTAGGATTGCTGGGATAGTCTTATATCTTGGCATTTGTTGACTCAAATTAGTAAATAAAACCTGAATTCTTATTTCATCAAATAAAAATTCCAATTTTTATACTATATTATTATAATATTATTATATTATATGTATTGTTATCTATGTTGTCACTGTCTCTAACTGTGCAGATTACCCTGGAGACAAATCTATGTGTTTACTTTTAAATATAGTTGACTATCACACAGTAAGTGAAGTAATTTATGATAATTTTAGCTAAAGAAGAATACAGTCACCAAAATTTAAGTTGCTCAACTTCCAACTAAAGTAAAAATAGCCTTTAGTGTGTGGTATGTAGGAGCAAAAACAGTAGAAAGCCATTCTTATGACAGAATTTGTAACTAGTCCCCAAGATACTGAGTTTTTTATCTGATCTTCTACACCTTTCTGTATAACCAGATGTTTCTTATTCTTACTCAGCTGCCTGTTCAAATTTGTTTATGATAATCAGGCCCAGAATCGATACTCATATCCTTTGTATAGTTTGTACTCAGATAATCTAGCCTGCCAGGATACATAATAAGTTCCCAGAAGTTACCAATCCAGGATAATAACATTTTCTTAGAACTTTTTTCAAAATTATCAATGATGCTTATATTAAAATGGCCAGATATTAATGAAGAAAAGCATACATTCAATGAAAGGAATTGACTTATCTAGCTGTAGCAAACATTGCCATTTGTTGGCTGCTGTCTGGTTTCTTTTGAATGCCTTATTTATGTTTTGATAATTTCCCACACTTTGAAGCTTTGCTTCTCTGATGGAGAATCCAGAAAACTCACTTCTCTAGACTCTTTTGCCCCAGGCTAGGGGCATAGAATCTAGATTCTGTCATTTACACTCTGGAAGACATTCAAAAGTAAGCAACCTGAGTATGTAAAATCCATTTTTTTTTTTTCTGGAATGGTAACTGGGATATGCAGCTTTTCACAGTAGAAGTCTCTTTATTGGCCAAATCTCTGTGTTCCTGTATGCTTGACCTCTACCCTGTTTCACTAACTTGTTTAATGAACCTATGCATTCCCTAATATCCTTTAACAAATTATTTCTCTACTTAGATTAGGCAGAATGTATTATGATATTTGAAAGATAATTAAAAATATTTAAAGATTTTTTATCAAAATACTATAACACATTTTTTAAAAACAAAAAGATTATAATAAACATGAGCCATCTCTCCATCTTTCTTCCTTTTCAGCCCCCTTACCCAGAGACATTCACTTTCTACAACTTAGTTGATTGATCTGGTATTTTCCCCTTCTCCATATATAAATTATATGTGTATATAACTTTTTATTTATCACATTTAGATATTACCTATTGACTATGGTTTTGTCTTTTTTATATTCACCTTTCTTCCCTTCCTATATCTTCTCTATTTTTATAAAATATTTGTTTCAATTATTGGTCAGTGTTTACTCTGTAGATGCTATGTATTAATAAGCCAAGTAGTATACTATTACTATATTTTACTTCTTTTAGCCTTTTTGCTTTTCCTGCAATTAATAATTACCTTGCTCTCCCCTTGTTTTGTTTGATTTTTGACCTATCTTTTAAAATTCTCTGTCAGATCATTCAAACACCCATTACTACTATTTTTTTCAAATGTTCAAATAAATCTGATAATTTGGAGACCTGATCGCTCTTCACTGCCTTAGTCTGTACTGGTTGCTTTCTAGCCTAAGGCACGCGTCCCGGTAGGACTCCATTTTGTAGCTTTCTTGTGTTGGATCCTTTGTTTTCTAGGCTCTAATCTACCTCTTTATTGTTTTACAGTCACATTTTGCTAAAGCACATCTTACAGAATCTTCCTGATAACGGATATTTGGGATTTTGAGTCCATGCACTCTTGCAAATTCTCTGTTCACTCCTCACACTTGATCCTTTGGATATTAAATTGAGTATTTTTTCCCATTGCATTTTTCTATGAGCAGCACTTCTCTTTTTAATAAAAAAGAATTGTTTTTTAATTGTCATTTTATGCAAATTAATTTGTAACTCATAGTCACTACTAAAGTGAGTATAATGGGTGTCTGCACCCATTAGGTGGGCATTTTCTTATCTGAATATACTTTGCCACCTTTAAAAGGAGCTAAATATTTCACAGTGTCAAGTTTGTGAACTATTTTGGGTATCATCAAAATAATGTGAACAATGTTGATTCTCTTCTTCAGGGCCCAAGGAAATCTAGTGAACTGTAAGAATTGGACTTATGACTTAGTATATATTACCAGCTAGGAGGATTAGAACCCTGTTTTGGATATTATCATTTCTAACAAAATCTGCCATTTAAATACTGAGAGTCATTGGTGTTATGATGACTTTTTTGTGCTTAAAAAAGTTTACTGCCAGAAATCCTGGCTTCTCCCATTAATTCAAAGACTTTTTGAAATGAAAAGTCCCAAAAGGTAAATTTTAAGATTTAAATATTAAGATAAATAAAAAAGTGATTTAAAAATTGTTAAATAAAATATAACAGGTAGTTTCTATGAAAGTAAGCTTTGATCCTGTAGAAAATTCTGGGTCAAGCTATAAAAGTACTTCTATGAAAATAGCAATCCTTAAGTTTCTAATATTTTATTTTTACATACTACATCTCTCTATTCTGACATATCCATATGCAGTATTGTACACACATGAGGCACTCAGTAAATAATGGTATGAAGCACAAATAAATGAGATATGAATTATATGTTTAAATAAGAAACTTCGCAGAGTTCTTTTTTGCAGTGGAACTCATAATTATGTAAATTCTGTACTAACTGTAAATTAGGAACTTCCAGTATCTAAAGATTGCCTTCTCTCCTCCTCCTCCTTTTTTTACTCAATATCTCACTCAAGGCACTGAATCATATGTCTTGTCACCATCTCTGCCACTTGATTGTGAATGTTAGGAGAATTAGGTCTATGATTAATTCATCTTTGTGTTTACCCCAGCAGCTACCATTTTACTCTGCACACAGAAGGTGTTCAATCATTGTCTGCAGAGTTTAGTCATTAGTGAATCTTTGGTTGACTATCCACCAGGTTCGGCAATGTGATAGTACCTTTCCAATAAAGGAATGAGAAATGGAAGTTGCATGGAAAAAGATATTAAGGTAAATGGTGGGACAACAATGTACAGAGAGCATGGTTAAATATAAGGGCACATCTTTTAAGAATTCATCTAAAAATTTCGCAGTAGCTTAATACCTTTGAGATCTTTGGTAGACTCCTTTAAATAACACAAGGAGGATATTGATTTTAACCAGCAAGGGACTTGATTAGTGCCCTGACTTTGTTAGGATGAAAACAATACTGTTCAGAGAATGTTCTTTCACAAAAGCCTTTTTAAAGAAACATATAGGCCTTTTGAAGTCTATCCATGCAAGTACCTGAGGTTAAGTATTTTTAGAAAGTTGAAAAGGTAACTTTTTCTTCATGAAAATATGAAAAAATGAATGATAGAATTTTTTTTTATTTATTTGGGGTAGGGGGTAATAAGGGTTTTATTTATTTTTAATGGTGGTGCTGGGGATTGAACTCAGGACCTTGTACATGCTGGGCATGCACTCTACCACTGAGCTGTACCCTTCCCCCTTCTGAATGATACAGTCTAAACTGTGTAAATATGTTAATTTGAGGAGAAATCTAAAAACCAGAATGCTAAAGGATGACCTAGGACTTGGATCCCTATGTCAGGGAATTTAATTTGTCTGGGAAACCTATTTGAGACCTGCCAACTCTTTCATCATCTCATTGTGTTTGCCCTAACAAGAGTACTGGTTCATCATAATTTCTAAAATAACACTGATTTGAAGCATCAAAAAAGTCATCTCTACGTATACTGCCTACTCAAATTGCCATCTTTTCTTGCTTACCTCTTTCTCTCAGTCTCCGTGGCTGCTAGGCAAAATGCAGATTCCTTTTAGGCAGGGCTTGCTTACTGTTTTTTGTTCTTTTTTTCTTTTCTTTTAAGGAGGTGCTAGAGATTGAACCCAGGACCTCCCACATGCTAAGCATGTGCTCTACTACTGAGCTATACTCCACCACCCAGGACTTGCTTACTTTATATAAGCCTAAAATCATGCCAAGCACACAAGGCGTTTAGAAGATTCTTTGATGTTGATAAACGTGGGATCTTTTTCTATTCCTGTTCTATTTGATTACTTATAAGCTGCTATTATATAAGTCAGAAAGAAGTTCAGTGGTTATAAAATTTTGTTATCTTCTGAATTACTTAGGAGACACAGAACTTTGTCCCTGATCAGTGAGTTCAGTTAGAGGACAGAAGCAATGACAAAGGATCCAGTCCCATTAGTTATTGATTTGTCTTCCCTTCATACAGGGTATTTTTCTACCCTGACATAAGCTGCACTCTATTTCCAAGTAGGTGGGATGCAAATGTATGTGAGTGGTTCAGAGCAGTTTATCTTCAAGTCTGAATAAGCAGCTCCAGTTTAATGACTCTGGGTTAACAGTGTCATTTTTGTAGAAGAACAAGGTTTTACAAAAGCTATTGTCATATTTACTGAGCAATAGGGTAAAGTTTAAAGCTGAATAAAAAAT